TTAATCCTGACACTATTACCAGAATGTTTGGGAACTAGACACATCTCTGATTCTCCTTTCCTCACATAGAAATGGGATGAAATCTACTTCCCAAGGTTGTAATGATCATTAAACTCAATGGAACAAGTCTTACATATATTGTCAATTACAAGTGATACACAAATGTCAGTCATTTCCTGATGTTTCTTTCTCATCGGTCACAGGGACAAACATTTTTAGTCATCGTAATCTCTGAGGGTGGTCTCAGTTTCACTTGCTGTGATTCCATGAAAACACACATCTGAGGACTTACTTTGCATCAGCCCTGTATCTGCTGCTGGAGAGTATAGAGACGAATAGAAAACCATTTTTTAAAAAATTCTTTTCAGTGTACCAGAATTCATTGTTTATGTACCACACCCAGTGCTCCATGCAATATGTGCCCTCCATAATTCCCACCATCAGGTTCACCCAACCTCCCAGCCCCCACCCCTCCAAAACCCTCAGATTATTTTTGAGAGTCCATAGTCTCTCATGGTTCTTCTCCCCCTCCAATCGCCCCCAAGTCCCTTCTCCTCTCCACCTCCCCATGTCCTCCATGTTATTTGTTATGCTCCACAAGTAAGTAAAACCATATGATAATTGACTCTCTCTGCTTGACTTATTTCACTCAGCATAATCTCTTCCAGTCCCATCCACGTTGATACAAAAGTTGGGTATTCATCCTTTCTGATGGAGGCATAATACTTCATAGTGTATATGGACCACATCTTCCTTATCCATTCGTCTGTTGAAGGGTATCTTGGTTCTTTCCACAGTTTGATGACCGTGGCCATTGCTGCTATGAACATTGGTGTACAGATGGCCCTTCTTTTCACTACATCTGTGTCTTTGGGGTAAATACCCACTAGTGCAATTGCAGGGTCATAGGGAAGCTCTATTTTTAATTTCTTTTTTTCTTTAAGATTTCATTTATTTATTTGACAGAGATCACAAGTAGGCAGAGGGGCAGGCAGAGAGAGTGGAAGGGGAGCAGGCTCTCTGCTGAGCAGAGAGCCCGATTTGGGGCTCAATCCCAGGACCCTGAGATCATTACCTGAGCTGCAGGCAGAGACTTTAACCCACTGAGTCACCAGGTGCCCCTATTTTTAATTTCTTAAGGAATCTCCACACTGTTTTCCAAAGTGGCTGTACCAACTTGCATTCCCACAACAGTGCAAGAGGGCTCCCCTTTCTCCACATCCTCTCCAACACATGTTGTTTACAGTCTTGTTAATTTTGGCCATTCTAACTGGTGTAAGGTGGTATCTCAATGTGGTTTTGATTTGAATCTCCCTCATGGCTAGTGATGATGAACAATTTTTTCATGTGTCTGTTAACCATTTGTATGTCTTCATTAGAGAAGTGTCTGTTCATTTCTTCTGCCCATTTTTTGACGTGGTTATCTGTTTTTTGAGTGTTGAGTTTGAGGAGTTCTTTATAGATCCTGGATATCAGCCTTTTGTCTGTACTGTCATTTGTGAATATCTTCTCCCATTCCGTGGGTTGCCTCTTTGTTTTGTTGACTGTTTCCTTTGCTGTGCAGAAGCTTTTGATCTTGATGAA